CCTTGCAAGAATATTTATTTACACTTTCACTTACTGTGAGAATTATGTTCTCAGAAGTTTTTAATAAAACATAGTGTACTTCCTTTAGAGGGAGATTGATCATATCTAGAATTAAAGTATACAGTTGCACACCTATAAATAAAAAGAACATCTTGTGTTCCTGATGCACTGAACTTTGAGCTATTCCTTGGTAATGCTATAGAATGTAAAAAAAAAAAAATGTGGAAATACACCTGAAAAGCAAATGTGCTGTCACCAGATGCCCTTGTAGACAAATAGTTTTCTTACAGGAAGCAGGAGATATTAATACATACATTTATCTATATGTACACAAACATAGTTATGAAGGCTTTTGAAATGCATGTTGTTATAAGAAAAAATGCAGAGGTCTACTATGATAATATGATCAAGTCCAGAAACCACTACAGCCTTTTTCAGTCTTTATTTTGCTGTTAATGTAAGTCAAAGGTGTCATGAGGAAAGAACTTTTCAAGGCATATGCAATAAAATGGAAATATGAATTTGCAGCTGAGCAGGGTGGTGTATGACAACTGCCACAGGAGTGAGTGATGGGGAAACAGAGATCAAAGGGAAATGAAAGGCCTTTTATAAGGGCTGACACTCTCAGAAAAGCTCTTCATTTGCCTAATGCTTGTTATTGCTGTCTGTCTTGCAGGTGTTGGAGAGATTCTATACCACGTGAGAACCTGCCCCAGAGGGAGGAAATTAAGCCAGAGGTGTCACTGCTGAAAAGCCAACCATATTTGTTGATTGATTTTTTTAAAAATAATTTTTTATAATAGCTTTTATTGTTATTATTTGCTTTTGATCTTTAATCAAGATGCTCTTTAGATAGCTTAGATAAGGTGCTTTTTTCATAAAAACTACTTTTTGTGTTGCCTGAAATTAATAATGCAGAGCATCGGTTCATCCACAGTGGTTTGGGGTTTTATTTTTCAGGTAATGAATGCTAGCATTTATCACAATTAGCTCTGGTTTAAATAGGCCTTTACCTGTAGATTTCTTTATATAGGGTGGCTTTTGACCCAGGTCTAACAAGACAATTCCTACCAGGAAAGAAACACTTATGGAAGCAAAAAGCACTGGTGCCGAGCTGTTGTTTTCTGGCAAAAGCTCAGATACTAATTTGCAGGCTACAAGCCAGTCTATGAAAAATTGGATTGATAATTTTTTTTTTTATTCCCCAAAGTACTCAGTATTATGTGCCTATTGATATCTGCCTGCCCTCCAGACACACACCTTTCTTGGAGTACAAGATTCTCAAGTGGTTTGATTTTCCCTTTCAGGAAGGAGCAATAATGTTCCAGCACCTCAGCAGGTCTCTCTGACAGGTGTGGTTACCTGTGTGTAACCTGCCACCCCTGGCAGAGGGGACCAGGGTGACACCAACCAGGGGCTCCTCAGGCAGGGACCTGGGGATGCTCTGGGATCCACTCTGGTTCCTGGGCTGCCCATAACAGAAAACAGAGAAACTTCACTGCTCCTGGCAGAAATCTCTTGTTTGCCTCACGCAATCTGCCCAGCTTCTGCTGGGATGTGTGGAAGGGTGTGTGGTGGCTGTGCCTGCTGCTTTCCTTTCCCATCATTGTTTGTATTCTTAGAGCTCCCAAGAATTTCATCACAATGAGAGATAACTTTGCTAAGCTCTTTATAAACCCAGAGTTCATCCCTGCTCATCTTAATTTACAGTCAAGGTTTGTACTCCTCTGCACCATTGCATTGGGCACAGTGTGTTTTGTAATTCTGATTCTTTTACTCTATTGATCCCTCCCTTCAAACTAATTCTTTTTTAAAATGTATTTATTTTTAAATTTTTCTTGCTTTCTGATAGATAATGTGAACGAACATCAGCATCCATCAGCATTAGCAGTTCTTTCTTCAATTGAATTTAAACATGATCTACAAAATGCCTTGGCTCTTGGGATAGGACCAGATATTATTATTCCCAAAGTATAATTTTCACATCCATCTGTTCCTTCACTTTCCTGACTTTTCTTTATCTGTTTTCCTACAAAGGTGGCTTTGCCAATGGCCTTTTACACAGCTTGACATTGGTGGCAGCCTTTCCACTTGCCTAAAGTAGCTTTTGTTCTGGATCCCAACACAAGACAATGATGTATCTTGAGAGGAATATTTAAGGTGAAATTTGTAGTTTTGGGTAGAAGTTCTGATGCAACCTGCTTAGCACTGTGAGTTCTGAAATACAAAAGAGGAATGTCATTCTAGTTCTGAGCCCGTGTATATACAGTCTTATGCTAAATCAATTCTATTCAGCATTCCTGTGTATGCAGTATAAGCTCGTAATGAACTCAGAAAATAATTTAAGTAACTCTGTTTCTGAGCAGAAATCACATTAATAGGGTAAATGTTGTTTCTGAGTTACAGTTTTTTGCTGTCCCTCTGCCTCATTTTTCTCTAGAATAAACCTTTCTGCTTCAAAATTAGACACATTTAAAGATTGCTCTTCATTAGCAGCTAGGCTCAGTGTCTCTGTGTTCCATGCACTTAGATCTGGAGCAGTCACATTGACTCCAGTACATACTTACGTGGGAGCTCTTTGTTGTCATTCTAGGAAATTCCTAATGATGAAAAACTGTTTTAATACTACATTTCTTTATTATTAGATAGCCTGAGGGTTAGTCTAGGAAGTCAGTGTCCTGGATATAGCTTTGAAATTCAAGAGAATTGCATGCAGGAAATTAGAGAAATACATGAAAATCAGCCTTCTGATTTTTCAAGCAGTAGCTGAATACAAATGAAGGTATGGATGCCCTTATTCTGAGCTTCTCTTGAAGCAGCCTCTAAATTTTTCTGCCTCATACTTGAAGTAAACTCTTCTTTCTTTTTAAACTCCCCAGTATTTTTAAACACTGATCTACTTTATTATAATGATTTTGAGTTTAGTAAAAAGTACCTGATTTCTTTGGCTTCTGTGAGTACTCCCAAGAATGTTCCATCTAAGTAAATTTTTGACCTGCCAGTGTTGGTTAAAAAAAAAAGAAATCTCTTATTATTTAGTGGAAAGGATCAACAGATATGTTTCACAATGCTTCATTTTCAGTGTGATAGTTTGCAGAACTCTGTTAAAAATGTAGGCAGCAATGAATATATTTGACTTGCAGCTCCAGTCTTAGGAAAAGGAAACAGATTTTTGTTCAACAAGAGCAATTATTTCTGGCATAATATAGACTCCAGTAAATGAGAGTGGTGACAGACAGATTGGAAAATAATTGGAATATTTACCCCAAATGCACAGAGGGGGTCTGGGTCAAGTAAGAGATCTTCCATTTCACAGAATGTGCCTTCAGAGGCCACTGTGAGTTGGTTATGTCAGAACTCAGTGCTTGGAGAGCTGTGCACGTGGGGAAGAGACCTTTGTGGTGCCCTACATGGACACTGCAATCTTGCTAAATATGATGCTTAAGCAAGGAAGGAAACATAATTAATGGGAACAGGTACATTTATGACATGAACAGAAAATATTGGCCAGCTTTCTTCTGAAAGGATTAACCTGGCTTTCCCTGTACACTGAATTTTTACTTAGAAAAGGAAGTGACAGTTCTCCAGTGATTTGTCATGCAGATTTTTTTGACTGAACTTTAGCAAGAAGAGAAAAGGTATGAGGAGTCTGTATTCTCTATCTCTTAGGTAATGGTAGGAAGAAAGGTATTTTAAAGGCTACTTTGATATTTGTGAAATGGAAATGTTTAAAAACAACTGCACATTATTTTAAAGAAATATTTTGTAAGCATTTATAGAAGGAACAATTTTCCTCAGATTCTGAGCTATGGTCCTTTAGGGACAAGAAGGAAAGAGAATAAAAAAGGATTAAAAATTTGGTTACAAACTATTTTTAGTGGAGTAATTTCTGATAATTAAGGAAAGTAATTTAATTTCAAACTCAAGTCTCATCAATCAGAAAATCTGAGACTCCCATTACTCACTGTGATTTTTCCAGCAGCAGAGCTATTGTTTAACTCCCTAAACCGACTGCTACAAGCACAGTGTGCTCCATCCTAAACTTTGTTAGAAAGTATCACAGAAAATACCATTCCTGTCCTGCTGAAAAGCAGATAGGCTCAGCACACTCAGGAGTGACTCATCCTAACAGTGACAGGAGTGGGAAGTAAAAACTGGGGGAATTTAACTGAATTTGATGCTCTCATATCTTGCAATACAACTGAATCTTGTCTGGAGAATATTGTCATCTCCTGCTAGGGAAGGAGCTTGATAGTCTTCTAATTCTCCCTTTTTTTCCTGTAGTCTACAGTCAGAAAAGCTGCAGAACTTGTTGGATTTAAAACAGTCTGGATGTTTTGATAAAAACACTGCAACGTGATGACAAATTCCATATATTAGGTGACATGTTGAGTTGGAGGTTTTACAGCTAAACACAAACAAACCAAAAATAATTTTCAGACTTTAGCTTGTTTCCCTCTTAGATCCTGCAGAATATGGCATAACTTGTTCTTGACTTCACTATAGAGTTATTTGGGTATTAAAAGGAAATAAGGGTCCTACAAAATGAATCTTGCTATACTTTCCACCGAAATCAGCTGGGTTTGGGCACCGGTCAGAAGACAGAGTACGCCGCTTGTCACGGTGAGTGTGTGAACCCAGAGGAAATGAGGATGGAGGGCAGTAAACAGCAGTGGTTTCTTCTACATATTGTCAGATGGCTAAATAAATGCTTTTATTAAGTATTCTAAAATGTAAGGATTTTATTTGTATGAATGACTTTTTATAAAATGCTTTTTGGAGGTCATGCCACCTTGTTGTTGTTTCCCTTCCATTTAGGAAGATCGGGGAATAACAAGCAGAACCATTTTCTGGCAATCCCAGAACCACCCTTAAAGAACCATTTAAAACAAAGATGGCAATGCACAGAGGCTGATTATAAGTTGTTAAATTAGCTGGTACTTAGAGCAGTGCAGCCATGGCAACCAGGAATGGAGTGGACACCAAGCCCCTGAACTTGGGCAGGGTTTGTGGCCTGCATTGACTCTGGTGCTGCCATAGCAACGCTCCCCTCTGCAGCAAAGACAGAGGATTTAAAGCCAACAGCAGCAAGCCTCCACAAATTACAACTTTGAATTTTGTAATAAGCACACTCTTAAAGATGGTGGGTGTCCAGCAGCCAGGAGAAGGAGGCAGATCTTTCTAGTTGGCTGCAGCATCCAGGAGATGTTTATTGTGATAAAGGAACTTAGCTGGTGTAGGTGTGCATGGAGGTGGTTTTGTCCAGACTGCATACACATTCCATTTTTGATGATGAATACTGCTTTTTGCTTGATGAAAAACACTCTCAGATTGGTTGTTCTCCTTGGATAGATTGTATTGAATATACTGACTTGGCAGCACTATTTTGTGAAGAGGTAAATATACCAGGAAACCTCAGGCTACAGTTCTGCACTTGTAAACACAGGTGTTCATATATATTTTGAAGAATAATAGGTTAAAATGCAGTTTAAGGAAAGTAAGAAAGTTTGGTTCTGTAAATAGAAATCCCAAGGCATAAGACTGGTTTCTATGTCCTGGAGTTCATGAAGCAACACAATTTTATCTGAAACAGACCTGTAGTTCTTGTTAACCTGCTCAAAATCTCATAATCATTTCAAGCAAAAATGATGTGATTGATGCAGAGAACAGCTGCAAATGAAACAATTTTGTTGCATTTTTAGTTCACAGGTTATAGAAATTGAAATGTGGGGTTTTTTGAGGTTTTCCTAATCTCACCTGGTGTATTGATTTCATTCACTAGCAGGTGGGGATGTGCCAACAGCAGCCACCCCATTCCCCCTCTGGAGCCCTCTGGTCTAGCAGGGAGTGATTCTCGATTCAGCACTGACAGCTTGTTGGAGTTCAGAGTTTGCCAGGATTTTCTTTTCACAGTATATCCCACCTTCTGTGCTAATGCATTCCTGGGGACATTCCAAAGTATTTAACACTCTGAGTAGAATACAACATTGAGTACCTAATGCTAATTTTTTTCCACCATGCTCACTAAATTGCAAGTGCTTGAAGGTTGGCCTTTATCATGAGGGTTCTAGGACAGAAAACTATTTTATGGTTAACAAGTTTTGATTTATGTTACTGAAGGAAAGACTAAAATAATAAAACTTAAGTACATCACACCTGATAGTTGTTCATTATTAATGTATGAATGACCAGCTAGGAAAGTAAGTAGCATTTAAAAATAAAGTTATGTTCTGAGAAGTTAATTAAAATCCTGTTGAATCTAATTGAAGGAAAAAAGTAATATGAAACTCTGTGTTAAGAACTATTATGAAATTTAGAGTAATGTGTGATCCTGGAGGCCTGAGGGGCAAATTTACAATTAAAAACTAAATTAGAATAATTAGGTTTTTATTATGGCAAATAATATGTCAGAGTTTAAAAATGATCATCTGCTGCTCCATGCCAAGGATGGAAATGGTTAAGAAAAGTACCAAGGAATATGAAAGGATATTTTTTCTTTCAGCTTTCCTTTCTGTCCTATGTAAACATTTTGTTTCCATGATGGCTCTACTATGCACATCTTATTGTTACTTATTGCTCAGCAATGTCCTTGTGCTGCTTCTAACCCTGCTTCTCTGTACTGTGCAGTCTTGTCGTTTGTACAGAGCACAAGACATGGAATCTTTTCATTTGTGCTCTTTTAGAAATGTTGTCAAATGTACTGAGTATCACATCACATATTTATTTTGAAGTGGTGGCAAGAACACACTGTTTTGTAGGGACTAAGGGAGAAGAATTAAACATGGATGTTGTAGATTATCTCAGTCATTTTGTACAAGTATAGTTTTAAAAATGTTTCCACTTCTAGTTTTTATTCAGATATCCCACACTGTCATGTAAATATGTCTGAATTTCCTCAATATGATGCTATATACATATATTTATGCATAAATTTTTATCACATTTATTTCTACAATACTGCTGATCTCTCCATTCCATGTGAATTTGTGCCAAACCACTTCAAAACTGTTCCCAGTAACACACCATTTCTACAGATCTAGAATTAGGAGCTCTTGTAAAATGTTTATTTACATTTTAAAAGATGACTCCACTCAAATATATAATTTTTTAAAAAAAACTGATTAGTGTATAAAATTTCTTTTTACCTCAAGCATGCCACTGGGTGATATTCCTAGGATCTTCACTCCAGGACAAATGGTTCATTTTCAATATGGTCTCCTTAAGATCTTGCAAGTGATTCAGTTGCAATATATTCACATTTAATTTTCAGCATAATTAGATAGAATTATGGATCTGTGAATCTTTTATAGATGGAGATAGTACAAGTTAGCCAAACTAATTAACCTAAACATTGAGGTTTAATATGATTATTTAAAATAGAGATTGTGACCACTCCAGTGACCTGTAGTACTTACTGATGTATGTTGTAATCTGTATAAAAGCCAGCAGAGGAGATGCTTAAACTGCACACTGAATTTGTCTTAGGGACTGTCCAAAGAACTTTTATAAGTAGGTAGTTTGAAACAAGAAGTTTCTCTACTGACTTTCATGTATTGTTTTCCTTTTTAATGGAATCTATTATTTGGTGAAATTCTTGACTGGTTCAGTGCTCCAGCAGAAACTGAATTCTGCCCTGAACAAGGCAATGAGTTAAGCTATGGTTGTGGGGATAGTCTTTTGCCAAAGGCTTTACTGCTATTACAATAAAACATATTTATCTATGAAGCAGCACCAGAAGTAATAAAAATGAAGCCAGAATTTTATGCAAACTTACAAGGCATGGACTTTTTCCAGATGACACTATGATTTGTTTCCAGCCTGCGTTGAGGTGAAATATGTAGCTAGCACCCGAGGTTCAAATTTTAGAGCCTTCATTTTAATACAAGAGCAAATATTTATTTTTATAACTGTTTGTAGTCTTTCTAGTGTTTGGTGCTTTTCCAGATTTAATCAGATAAACCATAAGACAGACATATAAAATTCATGTTACTTTGTCATGCCTTTGCTGCAAACAATTGCAAGACAATTGTTACATACAAAAATAAGGTTTTTTCCTAATGAGATTGCAACCCAGTCTTGTGAGTAACATCAAAGATTAATATAGGGTCAATCTGTATCTGTGGTAATTATCACACCATTTTTTTCTCTTTTCCTGTAATCTTATTTTTTAAAGTGATTCTGATCAAGTCAATTCAATTTCTCAGCAGACAAAATGCATGAAGCAGTACTGAGTTACTTTGGATCTACTGAAACATAAACTGGAAAACTCAATTTTCAAGTCAGATTTTTCAATCAGAAACACATGAGAACAATAAATGAATTCTAAAACATCTCTGTTTGCAGAAATGTAATAAAATATACATCAAAAAGGAAAAAAAAAAGCCAAATGGCTTTTGCTTTTTTTCTTTTTTTTGCCAAGCACATACAAGCAGGGTGTGTGATCTGTGGCTAGAGAGAAGGATTGAGATACAGATTGAGAAAACAAAAAAAATTAATGGGCAGATAAAGGGAAATCACATGGGGCTCTCCTCATCTTCTCTTGTCATGGGGGTATGTTCTTTATGACTGTCTTTGAATGCATCCTCTCAATGATACACTCTTTTTGTACAGTGCTGCCTGAAAAAATTACCTTTACCCTGACTTAAATTATGAGGAGGTTTGAGACGAGAGGTAGATTATAGGGATAGGCTAAGCATCTTCCTGCAGGCATTTTAATTTATACTCTACCACACCTGCAAACTCTTTTTCCCTTGCTAGAACGTGCCTTTTTGCTCTCACTGAGAAATGGAGCATGGCTGAAAACAGGTAGCAGCCTCTAAAAAGGGCTTTGCCCTGCCAGTGAGGGGTCAGGTTACTTTCCATCCCAGGTCCTTTATGGATTTCACTGGGCAATATGTGTCACTCTTACATTGCAGGAGGGGAATTTCAGGTGTTTTCTTTGTATTGGCTGTACACTGTGCTCCTGCTCATCTGCAGAGAAACAAGTTCTGAAGATTCACCATAATTTGTTTTTTCTTTCTGAAATTTTGGACCATTAGCTCATCTTCTCAGGAAGGAATGAAGTATTTCCTTTTTCCTTTATCTTTTTTTTTTATTTTTTTGTGGAGAGTGTGTTTTTTCCAACTAGGAGTTCTTGTGACTCATCCAAATACCCTGTAATGAAAAAAATTATATCTGCTCAGTGCAAGACATATAAACACCCTGTGCTTAGCAAATATTGTCTTCTGCCAGGTCTGCTAGCAAGTTAACTTCAATTTTTACGGTGGTCTTATTGCTGAAGTCAAGCAGTATTTAAGAAATCACTTCTCCCTTTTACCAGAAAGAGTGGCAGCACACTCTTAATCCTTTCTTAGCTTTTACAGGTTTTGCGCAGTCTGTGAGTTAATTCATTCTCAAGTTTCAAACTCCCAGAGTAAGTCAAGAACCTTTATCATGAAGATGGTGTTTCTGCTGAGGAAATGGAGGCAGAATTAGTTACTGTGCCATGTCAAGGATGTGTGCATTGATCTGTTTGGTCTGTGCAAATTGCCAACTAAATAGGTGATGTAAACAGTCGTGCACTGAAGTGGGCTCATTTCCACTGATTTAATACTGTACTTTGACCAAAATATTTTGTTTCTCAGAGGTTTTATATGAAAGCTTCCTGGGAGGTTAAAAGCTAAAAATGGCAGCAAAAATAGCATACTAAGGATTAATGGTTTCCCCATCATATTTCTCTACGAAAAATGTAACTGACAAGCTAGGAAAGTCTATTGCAAAGAAAAGTGTTTAAGAGACTGTGGCCAGCCACAAAGGCTAATGTCCAAGTTAAATAGCTGCTGAAAAGAGAAAAGTAGAGCAGCTTAATGGATTGGAAATTGGTTGTAGGGGAAAAAAGTAATCTTAAATGCAGCCTTGGAGAGAACTTGGTATTATGTGTTCAGTGAAAATCTTGTTTCAGTGAACTGGGTATGTATGCTTGGAAAGTTCAGTTTAGAACAGATAAAGGTGTACGGAAGACATTGGAGAACATTTATGTGCTTGAGTGTATATTTTTATTCAGAAGAGTTGCAAAGCCCAGATAAATATATTCAGAGGGGAGCTTCTAGAGAAACTGCTTCTCAATTATGAGACTGGGAGCTGTCCTGATCCACAGAGTTCTTGGGGGATGTATACAGACATATGCAGTTTCATAACATTTAAGCTTGGAATTGATAAGGAAAAATCCTATTAATGTGCAGAGTGAGAGTAATCCTATTAATTATATACGCACTAATCCAATTAGTTTCAAAGTCCTCAAGACATTCCACCAACATTTTCACCAACCTCTATAGCACTGACATGAGAGACCACTGATGCTCCATTTTTGCTTCCCAAGGGTGAGAAAATTAGTACAGTTAAAGCAGTGCTCTAAATGTTATAATCCACAAAACTTAAAATGTTTCTTTTAGTGTGGTCCACTAGTTTTGGTTTATTATCCATCCTGACCTGTTTTATCTTGTTAGTTTACATGCTACAGTGTTAGTAAGTCAGCAGATATCATAACAACCCACAGGTTCTTTTGATTCACCAACTTCTTTCCAAACTTAAATTCCTTCAGACTTAACAAGAATTAGGCAGGACAATAATTAGTAGGATTGCATGGCACCATTTTTAATTGAGGCTACCAATCAAAGGCACAGTACTGGAGAAGAAGGAAAAAGCAGGCTTGAGCCTCTGAGCTGACTTTTAATGCCAGATCTTCCAGCCACATATGAAGGTGCAGAGGAGGGAAAAAACCCTCACATGCATGATTTTTTGATATTGAGACTTTTGGAGCTTTAGGGTTCAAATGGATATAATGCTGCTGGGGTGCATCAATGATTCTTTACAGAGCCATGTATGTGTTTTCCTGTGAGTCAGAGCACACATGTTCATCTGTCAGCCGCTGAATTTTCAACTGGTTTCTTTGGCAGACTACACCACGTAGAGGAAACACTTCTTGCTCTCCAGCACACCAGGAACTTGTGGGTGGCTCTTGTGTTTGATGTGACTGATGGTATTCTTATCTTCCCTCTATGATAAGTCCATATGAAAATTTTTCTGCTTTCTGAAGCTCTGTTTAATTTTGAGATGGTTTGTCTGAAATCAAGCTTTGAAATTACATTAAGAGGAAGGTGATAATTGCTTTGTGGCATGATAGAGCAGAGCAGATTTTCTCTAATGATTTCTAGCTTTTCTCAGTTTCAGGGATGCATTTAAGTAATGTTTCACATTCCAAAGTTGCTGTTGCTTGTTTGGCCATCTCTGTTTCTTCTTATATGAGCTGTAACAGTTGAAACTATTATTTATGTGCCTTTCTCAGGAGCTGCTTCCTCAGGGTGACTCTTCTATGAGTGACCTGTGATTGTGTCTGAGACTTGTGTCACTTTTTGACAAGCTGAACATGTCCAGTGTGTGTAGCTATTCCTGCATGTACAAGTGGCTTCACTCTGCTGTTTCCAAACACTGTGATATTTCCCATTGAACTCTCTTTGAGATTATTATTTATGCTTTAATAGTCACTGGTACTCCTGAGCCCTGTGAGAAATGTTTTAACTGCTGTACCTTTAATCTCAATTGCTTTGATACAGCTATCTTTTATAGTATCAATGACTTAGAGAAGTTTGTAGCTGCCCAGTGTCAATTTAACAGGTTCTTTTCCCTTGTCTCTTTCTCCTTGGATGGGCACATAATGTAAAAGCAACTCACAGGGTGAAACTTTTAGTTCTTAGCCTGATATATCAGTATACAGATGAAGTCAAGCAGATGCTTACATTAACATTTAATTGAATTTATAACAGGCTACCACATGTTACATACATTAGTAATAAGCATTAACCAAAATAAAAGAAAACATTATGCATGTGCACTAAGCAGCAGCATGACATGAGGAAAAGATCTCTTAGCCCTTGAAATTGTTGCTGTTGATGGGATGAGAGGTGCAAACCAGCTGTACTTGCTCAAGGTTTGTTTTTTTTTTCCTTACTGTTCCCAAAGGAAAAGGGATTTGGCCTGTCAAAGTTAGCTTCAAGGCCTTCTTGAGCCCATTATAGGGAAACAGAAGCCCTGACAAAATGAAGAATAATCACAATGAGTCTCAGTGTATTTTGAAGAGCTCTACAGACAGGGTTGGATCTGAAGCTTTCTGAAGTAAACAGGAAATTTTCTGTTGGCATGCCACAGTTGTGGGTGCCAAAAAATATCTTCTGTCATTTATTTAAGAGACACACAGACTACCTTGAGTGAGGATCCCATGGTGACAACAGCAATAGCAAGAGCTGATTTTAGTGTCATCTTTCAGCGTACTGGAGGTGGTTTCCAGGCCCTGATTTCCATCTTAGTTGTGTTTCCAAAATATTCCATCTAAAGTTCCTGCCTGTGTGAAACAACTCCTCATCCAGTGACTTGTTTTTATTTACCACTATACTCAAAAATTGCCAGCATGTCTCTATAAGGTGGTGTTAAGCTTTTCTTGTTTTCTTTCTCTGTGTTGGAATTCTGTCTGTATACTCACCGACTCTGTTTTTGGCTTAAATAAACTTTAGGTTTAGCATTTCATAGGTCAAGGCAACTGGATATCTCACATCCCAAGGTTTTTTCAATATCAATTCCAATTCCTTATTTTCCACTTTTACTATGTAGGTTCTTGAGAACATGACTGTTTTCAAACAATATTGTGAATTACTGTAACCAAACCCTAATGTCAGTCCATGAAATACAGTTATAAATGAAAATGTCAGAACCCTGCAACTCCTTGTCTGTACTTATTAATGTCCTGGATGCTCACAGTGCTCTCAGGATGGTATCTGTCTTGTTATTTAAAGTATATCATATCAATAACAGCAGTGCTCCTATTTTAGATAATACATTAATTTACCTTTATTATAATGTCCATTTCTATGAGTTCTCAGTAGGATCTTTCTTCTCTGTTACTTCTGAAGACTGAAAATTAATTTTAGTGATTCAGTTAATGTGAAGGCAAAGAGCACCTGGTAATAAGAAAATTCTTAGAATTACTGAGCTGTCCAGAATAGCCACAAGAGCCATTTACCAGAATTATAATTGTTTATAGGGGAAACTCTCAGCAATATCTCATGCTTTTGTCAACTGAGCATTATTTATCTACAGAAAGACATAAATACCTCTCATGTTGGTAGCAAACCTTAACAAGAGATTATGTTCAGAAGTGGAGTGGTGATGTTTTATAATGGAGGCAACTCTAGGAAATGTGAATTGCTCTTTTATCTCTGTGAATTGCTAAATCTCATATTTTGATATAACATGCTGGGCATCAAATCTGTAACAGAAGCACACTGGAAATGGATTAAA